ATATGTTTTAAGGTATTACCATTAAGGTAATATTAAAACCATTAATATTTTTCTGGAATAATATTTTATAAAATTTAGCACAATGGTTTATCAGATTTCTGTTTATCCAAAATGGTGGGAAATTAATTCTTTTTTTTTCCTTTTTTATAACATGAGTAAAACTTTTAACAAAACGTGATCCTATTTAAAAACAAATTTAGTCATTGTTTAAGTATAGAAAATAAGTCTTTCTAATCCCTGTTACAGAAGTTTTCCTCCATTTTGTGTGTACACTTAAGCTCATCAGGGTTTATATGAATGCATGTATATGTACTGCACATATGTATGACTTATACAGATACACACCTGTAGTAAACTATACATACATCATTTTAAAGTTAAAACTAGATCATATTCTAGTACTGTTCTGAAATATTTTTAATGCAGTATACATACCTACCAAATTTAGTACATGTAGACTTATTTCATGGTTTATTAAATGTTTTATTAAAAGATTAACTATATCATTTACTCGTTCACATATTGATGTAGGTTTAGATCCATTTTTTTTCTATTATAAAGAATTCCATTAAGCCATATAAGATAGATATCATCTCTGTTTTGGGGTGAGGTGGAGGCATGGAGAAGTTAGATAGCTTGCCCTAAATTGCACAGTAAGTAGTGAAGTTGGTATTAGCATCCTGGCAATCTATTCCAGAAGCCACAGACATCAGTACTGCATTACACTACTTCTTATTTTGTTCTGTCTGTCTTTACTCTGCTTGTTGAATTGGAAAAAGATTTAATGTATAAAATATACCTAATGCTGAAACGCATAGTTTTATATGTTACTATAAGAACATTAGACCGTTTTAGTCAGGACTCCCACTGGTAGGACAGAATACTCAACACCTACAATTGAAAGGAGGAATTCTTTACTTGGCTCCTGATTCATAGGTGTCAGTCCATGGTGGGCTGGTTCCAGGTGTGGATGGCACGGAGAAGGCCGTGGTAGAGCAAGCTCCCTTACTGGGACTGGGAAGCAGCGCGCAGGAGGGAGGGGGAGAGAGACAGAGAGCAGGCCTACCTCCTCATAGCACTTCCTGCCGGACGCTAGCTCCCCGGTGGTCCAGTCACTCTCCAGGAGCCGCTTGTGAAGGTGACAGGTCAGGTGACACAGAAACCTGAGCACCATCCATGACACACCTTGTATTCATGGCTGTGTAGAACACAGAAGTAGGTTTAAGCCAAAACTGTGATGTGCAGCCAGATTACTGAGGCTGGGAGAGGAGCTCGTTAAGTCCTGGTTCGGGATGTGGGTGCACCCCAGCGCACCCAGTGCTGTTTCTGTACTTGTGATCAGCAAGGGTTGGAGCAGTGTGTAGTGATCTTCGGCCACCTCTGCCTGCGGCGGGGCTGTTTCACTGAACCTGCTTCTTGTGCTGCCTGTTTTTATGAGTACAGAGTGGCAAAGAGATGGACAGGCACTTTCTCAGCTTCAGTCTACATTGGTAGCATGTAACAGTGCTGGGAAAACGAAATCGTGCCTTAGGTGGGATTAGCATAGGGTACTTGAGTAACTGATCCCGTTTATTTATGTGCTTACTGTGGCTTCCACACTTATTTCGCCATTCTACTCTATCATTATTAATTGAGAGAAGCATAGCAGTTCTTTTCATTTTGAAGGATATAGCTATTGTTAGCGGAAAATGCAGTTTGGTTAGTATTATTTTATTCTTTAGTAAAATGTGCTTTACAGAGTTACAGAAATGAACACCTGCTCGGGGCTCTTGCCAGACCCTGTATTAAGTGCTTAGCGGGCGCAGCTTCGTGGTGATCACCATGACAGCACCCGCGCAGGCGTACCCAGCTCTCCAGCGCCAGCCCCGCTCCGGGCGCGGTGCCCTCCGTGAGCAGCTCACTCACGCAGTTAGAAGTGAGAGCGGCAAAGGAAAAGTTAGTCGTTCCAGCAGTGTGGTTGGCGCTGCTTCTCACCGCCAGAGAGAGCCCCGCCCAAGCCCCCTGAGTTGCTTCTGACCGTTTCCTCCCCCAGCACACTCTGGGGACACATTCTGTGTGTGTGGGTGCCTGGGCGGTTGTGATGTCAGACCCAGCCAACAGGCAGGGGAGAAAGCTTTGGAAGTAACGGGCAGTGTGTGTAAGACAGAACAGTGGTAGAGGGAAATAATTTACAGTAAAAAACATTCTTCAAAAAAATGAGTGCACAAAGGAACACTGCTCACATTCATTCGAGGCATAAATTAAGTGTCCTCAGTACTCTAAGTGCTGTTCTGTTAGAACCATACCTTTATTTTATTAGGGTGGTATTCAGTAAGTTATTTGAATGTTTCCGTGTGCCCAGCTCTGGAGTGAGGCATAGAAAATCAAGGGCTTCTAAACTAGGGTACGACTCTCATTGCTCTTAAACTATTAGCGTTGGTGAGGAAAGATTCAAAGACTTAGGAAACAATAATGCAAGACATTCTTTAAAAAAACAGTACCAGCAGGTGTGACCCTTGACGTGATTACACCATAGCCCTGGCTGTTCGTACTTGCTGTGAGAGAAATGCTCTTGTTTTGTTTGGATTGGGTGCTGTCAACCAGAACTCTAGGTTTAACCTGACCTTAGAGGGAAGCACATTGTAACAGTCATCAGCTTTAACCGGTACCATCAAAAGAACACGGTTCGCAGGGTTGGGTTCCCTCCCTTTCCCTGGCTCACCCTTGGGTGCTCCATGGGATCGCACACTCACGGAGCAGCCACCTCACCCTCAAGCCTCTGCAGGGCAGCTGCGGCTGGGGGCACGAAGAGCCTGAACCTGAGCAGACAGGCTCAAAGCAGTGACCTGCTGAAGAGGATACCTCACACTGTCACCTAAAGCAGCCACAGGACAAAAGGGGAGAGATGGGAGGGAGGGGTTTATACAGAAACAGGTAAAGGCAGAGGGCCAGAAAGAGCAGGTTTTAAAACCAGCATGAGCCGGGCGTGGTGGCGCACGCCTGTAATCCCAGCACTCGGGAGGCTGAGGCAGGAGGATCGGTGCAAATTCGAGGCCAGCCTGGGCTACAGAGTGAGCTCAAAGGTCAGCCTGCACTGCATAGCGAGACCCTGTCTCAAAAAGACACACATACACACACAGATAAATAGATGAAAGCAGCATGACTCAGGAGTGCAGTGATAGAAGGAAAGCAGGCCAGTAACTTCTGGGCGGTAAGAGGTGAGGTCGCTGCAAGGGAGGGCTGCTATTGCGGGTGGCGCTTGTCTTTCCTGGTAGCAGTACTGAGTTCCCCTTTGATCACTGCTTGGTTCTTTCTGGTGTTAATCACAACTGTATATTTGACCTTCAGCACTGCACTGTGATTTTCAAAATGTTTCATTTTTTACTACTACTGTTATGAGTTGGGGCTTCCTAGTATTTTAAAGATTACTCCAGAAATTTTAGTTTCTAAATATTAAATGTAATTCTACATAGCTGTTTGTCTTTTAAAGAAGGATCTGAAAGTTTCTGTAAGTTTTATCTTGGAAATTAGTTTATTCATTATGTTTAATTTTAGGAAGTGGCGCTCTTGCAGAACATTCTGAAAATGTGCATATTTCAGGAGTGTCAACTGGTAAGTCATTTTTTGTAATGTTTAAATTTCATGCATGACTTATATGGTAAATATTGAAAGCCACCTGGTATCTTATGAAATGGTATTTGGCTGTAAGAACTATTACTGCTTTTCGCAGCATGTAATAAGGAATGAAGTAACTGGAACACGGAGAAACTGTCATAAGATAAAAATGATACTCACATGCCCATGGGTTGATTATACTTTTCCAAATATTCTGCATAATTATTTCTTCATGTAAACATTAAACCAAGAGAAAAGTTATGCACAAGTTCAATTAATATTTTTTTCCATACAAAGTTATATGAAATGAAATTTACTAAAATATAGTTTTGAATGGTATTCCTGGGCTTCAGAGCTTGGAAATTAAGCATCTTGCTTGATTTTTGGATTAGAGTACTGCTCTACATAAAACTGCTGTGCTTGAGTACACAGTTTATTTGCTACTGAAAGCAGCCCAGAACGTTCTTGTGTCCATGAAGCTCAAACACTCATTGAGGTAAACGCATGTTTTCACTCGTCTATGCCTTTATAACTTAATTACCTATTAAAGATCTTTTTCCAATTAAATTTTCATTCTTAGGTGACTTCCATCCACAACTCCGTTACCATATTTGTTGTCAACTACCATTACTGGGAGAAGAGAAAACATTTTTGCAGGCACTGAAATAGTTTGTTACTATTAATGACTAATTATTAACAATTTATTTCCCTATATTCTTAAGTTTTATGTGCTTAAAACATTACCCTTAGTGTATTTACCAATTACTGATTTGATTACAAGTCTTAATAGTCACTTTTTTTCCCCTCACTCTTACTTTGCGTCTGACTTTATATTCAGAAGGTTAGTAGACTTTCCACAGGTCAGGATGCACTCAGCAGACACATCAACAAGCCTGGAATACCTGAAAATGTGACAGGTACCTCTGTAGCCTGTGTTAATTCTTCCTCGTTGGTTTTTACTTTTTGTATATACATGGAAGTGGTATATAAGTATATACCTCAAGTAAAACTCAGGTTATTCTAAAGATGACCTTGTGTCCTTTTTACTTTCTGTTTTGGTAAACTTATGAGAACTGTGATACTTTTCAAGTTACAACTATCAAGTAAGAGTGTTAAGCACATTTTAATTTGTAACTAAATGGCTATTGTCTGATACAGTGATTTTCAAGATTTTTGGCTTTAGGGCCAACATGGTGGCGACTGATAGTCTTTTAGGGCGGCATGGCAGAAACGTGGTGGTGGCCTGAAGGACAGGCACTCACTTCCTCACTGTTCAGGAGGCTGACGGGTGCAGAAGGTGCTCGCCAGGGAGCCTGGCCCTGGGTAGGGGGCCCCCTCCTGTGGCCTCGCTGGCCTTTCTGTGAGCCTTGAGAGAGAGCCGCTGTCCCTCCCTGTGCTCATGCAGACACCTTTCTGGGAAGCCACTCTGATTCATCCTCAGCTGTCTCCTTACTCTGTGTCCTTTGTGTCCACTCAACAGTTTTTTTTAATTTTAAAAAATACCCTTTCTGTCACATTGGGAGTTTGGGCTTCAGCGTCGTGTAAGTCTTGAGAGGGAGTGAATTAGTTCATAACTCAGACTTGAGTTTCTGTGTCTGAGGCTGTCTCGACCATATTTACTGCATTGGATCCTGAGTTAAACCATTCACATTTAAAGTGATTATTCATGTTAGTAGGTTAGTACCCACTGTGTGTCTACTTTGTGCTTTGCCCTGTTTCCTTTGTTTTACCCCTTTTCTGCCTTGTTTTAAATACTGTGTATTATTCATTTTAAAAAAGAAATTATCTTAAAACTTACAAATGCATTGTAAAGTAGCAATAGTAAATCATTTGCAGATTACATCAGTAACATAGTTTTATGAAATATATATTTTCCAAAACAAAAACACCGCTAAATGATATGATTGTTTATAATTTTATAGTCTTCAATGATTAGCAAATGTCTGGCTTCTCACATCTGTTTCTGCAGTCTTTTGCAACATGTTTTGTTTGACATATGTAAAGACAGTCCAGCTGCTGTGTAACTGGAAAAGAAAGGAGTGTTTTAATAACTTTTTTCAGGTAGTTGTGACTACTATACCAACATTCAACAAGTAGTAATTAAAAGGTTCGTTGCAGAGCGGAATCTGAAACCAGGTCAGTGAACTTTTGTGCTCCGTTGCACTGGAACCCAGCTGGCCTCTCTGTTTTCTTCTTGAGTATGATTTTATAATGCGCATTAATCATTTGCAAAATGCTGGTTTGCTGAGTCAGGCAGATTAATATGGACTTTGCAGAGTAATAGGTATTGGACAGATCCAATATCTGCTCAAATTCTGAATTTTGCAGCCACTCAAGGTTAGATTATAGTTTTATCTCTTTACTTGAGGTTAAGCTACTAGGCTCTTGTTGAACATTAGTATGATCCTTAAATTAATTCCTATTTGAAAAACCAGTAGAAATTCCCTTTAAATTATGTAAAAGATGTCTTACAGTTTTAAATTTTTATCCCTTACGCATGAATTTCAGACACCTATTTAGAAATATGTCTTAGTTTGCTAAGGCTTCATGACAGCACCACAGAAAAAGCAACATAAATACATTTGCTCATGATTCTGGAAACTGGGAATGCAAGGTCAGGCTGTTGGAGGCTTTGGCTTCTTGTAGCTGGCCATCTTACTTCACTTCCTCCAGGCCTTCTCTCTTTCCTGGGTTCTGATCTCTCCTGTAAGGACCCCAGTCCTGTTAGACAGGGGCCCACCAGTATGGCCTCACTTTAACTTATCACCCCATTAAAAGCCCTCTCTCCACTTATATTACAAACTACTGGTGTTAGGACTTTAGCATGGGAGTTCTGAGAGTGACACAGTTCAGCTACTGTAATTAAGTGTATTTAGAAACAGTAGAACTCCATTCAGGGTGTGACTCAGTGTAGAGCACTTTCCTAGCATGTGAGGTCCCAGGTTCAGTCCCCACCACTGGAAAAATGAAAATAAGACTTCGTGTAAGAGATCAGTGAAACCTTCTTAAGGTATTATTGTTCCTTCCGATGGCTGATCTTACAAAATCATTCTTCTGTGGAGTGAAAAGAATAATGCATGAAGTTTATTCTGATGATACCATTTTTGAAAATGGATGCTGTCTCAGAGGTGCTTTTGAGTACACAGATTTATTGTATTTTTTCTTTGGCCGGTGTGGAGCTTTAAGCATACTATTTAATATAGGACAGGAGGATTATCCCTTATCTGAAATGCAAGATTTTGAATGCTTGAACTTCAGAATATTAGCATAAATTTCACTGATTATCGTTGGTACAAAACTGAAATCCAACCCACTTAAAATCCAAAATATTTTGAGCATCATGTCAGCACTCAAAAACACTTAGATTTTGGAGCCTTTTTGGTTTTTTTTGGAACAGTTTGAATGTCAGCTTTATAAGCTTTCTGAAACCCTTCCATTGCCTGGAGAAGTGAGGGTCCCTTCCGTGTCGATATGCACGGGAACCAGCTCTGGGCAGGTGCGCATGTGGGAGTCTGTGCTCCTGCTGAGCCCAGCCAGCCCGGGAATGGTGAGCCGCCGGCTCCTCCCCTCCTCGGCTGCTCCGCATGCAGGCGAGCGCCACGGGACCCTGCTCAGGCCTCCCGCGTTGGGAGTCTGCTAACAGGCCATTTGAGCAGTAACAGTGACTCGTCCACGGTTAGTCATCAGGTAGTTCGTTGTCCAGACCTAGACGCTCTGAGCGGGAGAGCACGCTGTTTCTGAACCACGTTGTCACCAGTGACAACCCCGGGGCTGTCTTGGACAGATGGAAGTAGTCATCCTGTCCACAGTGGCTGCATTGTTCTCTGCATGTGTGCGAACACTTGGTCAGGACCTTGTGTCAAGAAGTGCGGGTGTAAGCCCAGTGAGCAAAATACTCTCGCTTGTGGGAACCTACTCAGTGGACAGCTCAGAACGTGCAAATGCCTCTGCAGTGTGTTCTTAATGCAGTAAATCCCGTGGCAGTAATGATCAGACTGAGCTAGACAGTGAAGTTATAAAAAGCATAGTTATAATGTCTCGTGAGTGATTTGATATTAATTTAATATTTTGAAGGATTTAATATGTTGTTATTTTCCTAAGAATAGTACTAAGTCCTTTGTTTTATTTACTATGGCAATTTTGGGGGTCACTATTAACTCCTGATCGATTACATAGTTTGGGTTCCCGTCCTTGAAACACGTTGTTCTTTTCACTTCTTTTTCTTCCTCCTTAAATCCCAAGAGGGGGACTTCTACCCTTTTTCTGGTTGTTGTGCTACAAGATGGCTGAAGAAATCTTAAATTATCAAAAATGGTATCCAGTGATGGTGTAATGGCAAAGAAATACTGAATGAAATCTCATTTTTAATTTTTTTCTTTATAACTTTTCATGGGCCAGAATTTTACATCCCTTTTCGCAATAGAGAAATGAGAAAAGACAGATGATATTTTTGTAAATCTTAATGCGGAAAAATCATGAAAGTATAGAAACTATCAATTGTGTACATAAGTGAGTGGAATGGTTATTTTAATGTTTAAGAAATAAGCCTAAATTACATGATGTGTTCTGTTTAATGTTCTAGTATTTTTACATAGTTAAATTATTGCTTACCTGCTACATGGAATGAAACATATTTTAGTTCAAGTTGACTTGTAACAAGACCTTTGCACACATTAACAAATATATTTGACTTTTTAAAATGTATCTAATCTACTTTAAATTGAATTTATTCTGTAATTTATATTCACTTGAATCAGTACTTGATTATGCTGTCCCTACCCTTGATTACTTCCACATGACATTTACTTGTTTTCACAAATTCTTTTTGTACAGTATAAGAGTTTTATTAAACATTTAGAAGAACTTTTCAAAGGCAAAAAGAAAGTCACCCATTAACCCCACTCTCCTGGTTTAATTACTAATATTATAATTTCATCTGTCCTTCTCTGCATACTGTAAAAATAGTTGCATATTCATTTGAATTATAATTTTATCTC